GGACCCTGCCATCAACCCAAACAGATAAGGGAAGCTCTCACCGCCTCCTGTCTTGCCCTTTTCCAACAGCCACAAGGCCATTCTCCATCCTCAGAGTCCACGGTGAAATGAGGGTAGTGGCCAAAATCACCTCCCTCCATTTGCTGTTCCTCCTGATCAGCTACAAAGTTGCATTGTGTATCCTGGTTTATATTCTCCTGGGCTCCCAGAGATAATGTGCCTGGCTACCAGGAAGCAACGACACAGAAGAAACCGAGGCCAGGAGGAATATTGCTCCTCTGATTGCTATGCTGAAGCAAAAGCCCCCCCCAAAATACACTGCCAACACACACCCTTCTCCAGGGACACAAATATTCCAAAAGGAAGGAAGGGAAGGACAGGGCTATGAAAGTCAGGGGTGCTTCAGGAGTCAAGACCCTGGAAAACAAGGCAGAATCCACTGAGACACCAGGAAAAAAACTCCACTGCCACTTAGCTTTGCAGAAGAAGACTTTCTGACCCAGTGGTCAGGAGAAAAACTACAAAAAATGCACAGCCTGCTGGTAGGAAACATAATCTAACATCAACATTGCTTATCTGATTGTGTTTCCTGTGAAGGAGGAGCCATTCATCTCTCAGGTTTGCTAGCCTGGAATATGATTGGAGAAACTCCTATGATGAACAAAGCTTGATTCTCCGACGTTTGTGTGTATGGACAGTTTACTCTAATTGGAATCTGTGACATTCGTTTTATTTCCATCCAGTACCTGGCCAGCCTGAAATAGTGAAGTTCCATCAATGAAAAATAACACAATTAGATGGAGATTTTCTAAGCAATGGGGACTAATCACCGGATTCCAGGTAAGATCATTTTACATTTTGCACATTTTATTCTCGATTCCATATTGACCTATTTCTCCTTACATAGTGAAGACTGATTGTTGTATGTAAAGGTAATGGTTGCAGGTCAATGCTATCAGACGTTTTAAAGTGAATACTAGAGATGAGCGAATCGAACCTGGCGAAGTGGAATTCGTTTCGAATATCAGGAAAAATTTGATTCGCATCGAATCCGAATTTTAGCCAACTTCGGGTGCACGAATCGAATTTTTCCCGATCAGCCGGCAAAAGTGTCACTGCAGAGAGCTCCGCTATTTCTGACAGTTCTGACAGTTCATTTACAGCGGTTGAAACATTGTATCTATTTGTTTCCATTTAGGATACAGATGTTTTTATTCGGAAATAAATAGATACAATGTTTCAACCGCTGTAAATGTGAAGGAACTGTCAGAACTGTCAGAAATAGCGGAGCTCTCTGCAGATACACTTTTTGCTGTACTTTAATTCTTCTTCTTTTCATTCTTCTTCTTCTTTTCATTCTTCTTCTTCTTTTCATTCTTCTTCTTCTTCTTTTCATTCTTCTTCTTCTTTTCATTCTTCTTCTTCTTCTTTTCATTCTTCTTCTTCTTCTTCTTCTTTTCATTCTTCTTCTTTTCATTCTTCTTCTTTCTTCTTTTCATTCTTCTTCTTTTCATTCTTCTTCTTCTTCTTTTCATTCTTCTTCTTCTTCTTTTCATTCTTCTTCTTTTCATTCTTCTTTTCATTCTTCTTCTTTTCATTCTTCTTTTCATTCTTCTTCTTCTTCTTTTTCATTTCTTCTTTTCTTTTCATTCTTCTTTTCATTCTTCTTTTTTCATTCTTCTTCTCATTCTTCTTTTCATTCTTCTCATTCTTCTTTTCATTCTTCTTCTCATTCTTCTTCTCATTCTTCTTCTCATTCTACTTCTCATTCTTCTTCTCATTCTTCTTCTCATTCTTCTTCTTCTTTTCATTCTTCTTTTCATTCTTCTTTTCATTCTTCTTCTCATTCTTCTCTTCATTCTTCTTCTTCTTCTTCTTTCTTCTTCTTCTTTTCATTCTTCTTTTCATTCTTCTTCTTCTTCTTCGTCGTGCCCCGTGACTGCCCAAATGAGTGAAGTGTGCGGTGATTCTAAGATCGACGGCACTCATCTGCATGTCATACTGACTGACAGTATTATTTCTCTTCCCCAGCAGACTCCAAGGGCATTTAAATTAAAGGTACAGTGTTCTGCACTAATATAAAGGCTCTCTGAAGCCTAGAAACCCTTTTAATAAGTTAAATTTGCGGCGAATAAATTCGCATCGAATCAAATTTCTCCCGCAAATTCGGCGAATCAGCCGAATCAAATTTTTGAATAATTCGCTCATCTCTAGTGAATACATTTAAGAAAAGATGTTTTCATCTAATTTACAAATAGACATTTTTATACAGGATGGATCTACAGTATGACACAAGATTCCCAGAGCACTGTGAGTTAACTAACAAGAGAACACAGCCCTGGTTGTTTCCTTTCAGACACAATGGAGCTACTTTACTAAAGGGGAATAGATTGCTCACTTTCAGGGAATTATCCCTTAGCTTAGTGAATGGGATGAAGCTCTGCTAGTTTCCATCATCTGATTATGTGCAAGGAAAAATCTAGGTTTTTTTTCCTTGCACATGATTGCATTTTTTTTTTCTACAGCTAATTTTCACTTAGCTAGTATGAAGTGCGTGCCAGCAGGGGTGTATTTACCACAAGGCAAACAAGGCATTTGCCTAGGGTGGCATTTTTCAGGGGGGGAAGCACTGCCTCTTGGAAGAAGGGATGGTAGAAGGGACACACGCAGCACCTGGTGGGTTCTGAGAGATGCTGTGGGTTTCACGACGGTGTATGCACAGCCCGACTCTCATTCCTGGGGATATCTGGAGCTCTGAAGGTGAGTGTCTTTCTCTCGCCATGGGGGATGGTGGCTGGTGTATGGGGAGCAGTGGTAGTTGAAGGCTTGGGTGGAGGGTAGGGGTGTTCTTGGTCAATGGCTCTTTCTGTAGAGGGGCACCAACTTTTGTGTTGCCTAGGCTAGCACAAAACCTAAATACACCACTGCATACTAGCACACTATGGCATTCACCTTCAGGGGGGATCATTTTAAAAATGGTTTGAGAGTTTATTACCACTTGCAGTTTTTTTATAAATTAAAAAGGAAAAGCCAGCAACAATATAACTCCTCAATTCTACAACACAGCAACGTGTCTGGAATGAATAATTAACATCTGTAAGCCCGGAGTGTGAACAGCACAATGGGACACTGAAGGCCAAGTTCACCTTTTGAAAAAAAGAATAAATGCACATTTTTTGTAGGTAAAAAAAATGCCAAAAATTGTCTGTGTGTTTTTATTTACATTGCACATTTATTGGTGAATGAGTAGGGGTACTATGTACCCCCTGCTCATTCACATGGTGGGATCCAAGATCTGGAGCCCCCTTGATTCTGATAAGTAACCCTCCCTCCCCCACAACCCCTGGGCCAGGGTTACAGGGAAGAGGCCCTTGTCCTCATCAACATGTGGACAGGGTGGTTTGGGGGGAACTCCCCCCAAAGCACCCCCCATATTGAGGAAATGTGGTTTGGTATGGTTCAGGAAAAGGGGGGCACTTACTTGTATCCCCCTTTCCTGACCTGCCAGGCTGCATGCTCAGATAAGGGTCTGGGATAGTTTTTTGGGAGAACAAAAGATTTTTTTTTTGGTGTAGGGTTCCCCTCAAAAGTCATCCAGAGCCAAAGGGCCTGGTATGGATTGGGGGGACCCCAATTTTTTTTTTATTTTAGAAAAAAAATGTAATGCCAGCAATTTTTCTGTTTACATTCTGCTGCCAGCAGGGAATCTCACTGACCGCATATGAGCCAGTAAGGACGCGGTGGCCAACCTCTTTTGTTTTGGGGTCCAATGTTCCAGTAAGTCAATCAATGTGGTGGTGGCCGGGAACACTGGATTGGTGGAGGTGATGCAAAGATACACTTCACACTTTTTACTTTATAACTTTCTATTCAACTTCAGAACTTTTTTGCATTTATGCACTTAATTGTGTATTGAATTTCTAAGAGCGCAATGCATTGTTTATGAAGTAATATATATGTTCTCATATCCAGTCAGTAGGTGGAGCTATTGGCTCCATTTCACGTTTCCAGTTTCTCCTTACCTCCTGATTAAAAAAAAAATCCTGCTGTTTAGGAAGCTCAGTAGCTCAAACTAAAACTGAGATTTTATTCTGAGTGTCCAATATAAGACAGCCAGTGCAGTCCCTTTAGATAACCCATAATGCTCTAGAAATCCTGTGTCAAGGGTGCACCCAATAATTAATTCTATCAACATAAAACAATTTTTAAAATATATAAATGTACAAATTGGCATTATTATCACCAATTTCTTTTCAGCTTAGTAAAGAACCCATTTACTTAATTAATCTTTTAACTCCATGTCCATAACTGGAGTCACATAAGATGTAATTTCTTGCAGATGAATATCTCAGCCTGGAGGGATTACAATGTGTCCTTTGCTTTGGATGAATCTCTCCAGTTTCCACCCAATGTGACAGAATATAAAATCCCCCTCCAGTATGGAACCAACTACACCATCACCCTCCGAGCAGTCATATCACACGGAGTCGGGGAGGCTACAACTGAGAACATTGAGACTGATATTGGAGGTGAGTACACTGGCAGACATGGGAGTTGGAAGCTATTACGTAGAACAATTGATATTCATTGATTTGAAGCGGGGATGTGTGATCTTGTGCCAAAATGCAAGGTTTACCACTGACACTAAGCTGCTGCAAAGACTTGATGATCATCTAAGGCAGCCAATCTCAACCAGGGTTCCTCCAGAAGTTGCTAGGAGTTCCATGAGCTGTGATTACACATGGGATGGTGCCTGGATAAATAAATGTTCACTGACCTCCAATGTAAGGGACATTCTTCCCACTGCCCTTAAATATAAGGGACATTCTTCCTACTGACCTCCAATGTAAGGGGAATTCTTCCTACTGACCATCAATGTATGGCGCATTCTTCCCACTGACCACCGATGTAAGGGACATTCTTCCCACTGACAACCGATGTAAGGGACATTCTTCCCACGGATCACCAATGTACGGGGCATTCTTCCCACTGACCATCGATGTAAGGGACATTCTTCCCACTGATCACCAATGTAAGGGACATTCTTCCCACTGATCTCCAATGTAAGGGACATTCTTCCCACTGACCACCAATGTAAGGGACATTCTTCCCACTGATCACCAATGTAAGGGACATTCTTCCCACTGACCACCAATGTAAGGGACATTCTTCCCACTGATCACCAATGTAAGGGACATTCTTCCCACTGACCACCAATGTAAGGGACATTCTTCCCACTGACCACCAATGTAAGGGACATTCTTCCCACTGACCACCAATGTAAGAGACATTCTTCCCACTGACCACCAATGTAAGGGACATTCTTCCCACTGATCACCAATGTAAGGGACATTCTTCCCACTGACCACCAATGTAAGGAACATTCTTCCTACTGACCTCCAATGTAAGGGACATTCTTCCCACTGATCACCAATGTAAGGGACATTCTTCCCACTGACCACCAATGTAAGGAACATTCTTCCTACTGACCTCCAATGTAAGGAACATTCTTCCCACTGATCACCAATGTAAGGGACATTCTTCCCACTGATCACCAATGTAAGGGACATTCTTCCTACTGACCTCCAATGTAAGGGACATTCTTCCCACTGACCTCCAATGTAAGGGACATTCTTCCCACTGACCTCCAATGTAAGGGACATTCTTCCCACTGACCACCAATGTAAGGGACATTCTTCCCACTGACCACCTTTGTAAGGAACATTCTTCCCACTGACCTCCAATGTAAGGGACATTCTTCCCATTGACCACCAATGTAAGGGACATTCTTTCCACTGGTCCCCAATGTAATGTGTGTTTTTGGCATACAGGATTGGATCGGATGCCGGTGGGTGTCAGAGGACACTTGTCTGCTGACACCAGCAGGTCTATGGATGGTCCGATCGGGTCCACTTGAAAAACAGGTGACCTGATTGGACCACCAGTGTGAAAGAGGCCTAACACACCATAACAATTAACTCACTGACATTAACTCACTAAAACAACAACTTTTGTTTTTTTGTTTTGTTTTTTTATTCTTTTTGCTTAACTTTTCTGAACAATAACCTGTCCAGTTGTAGCAGCCTTTGATTTTAGGGTCTCCCAAAGTGTGATAGACAGTTTCCTGACTACCTGACATCTTTAGAGACCCTTTTTGTGCAGAATTGTGTGGAAACCCAATACTGTGCCGTGCTGTCATTTATCAAACATTACCCAAAGCGTGGTCCAAGTCTGACCTCATTATACAGTGTGCAGTTTCCGTGGCATCTATGGTCAGACCGCCTGTACTGGCACACAGCAGATCACTTCTGTTTCCTGATTCCTGAATCTTCCTTTCCAGATCCTCCTCTTCACATGGAGAAGACAATACATGATGGCACTTTACAGCTCCACCCGGTTCCTAATCCGAATGGGCCAATCAGGTGGGAAACGACTTACAATTGCTCTGTGTTTAATAGAAAATCGAATCACAAAGACTGGCTACACACTGATGTCAACATTTTCATAAAACTTTATTGTTCTGGATGTGAACGCTAGAAGCCCAGCTTGGGACCTCCACCACTGATGCATTTCACTTTAGAGAAGCCCATCTCTAGGGGGAAATGTGGGAGGATGTCCCAGGTAGGCCTTCCAGTGTGCCATTAGGAACAATAACGTTTTTTGAGAATATTGACATCATCAGTGTGCAGCTGATCTCTGTGATTCAGTCTACACATTCTTTCTTTGGACACCGGCATGCTATGTATCCCTGTGTGGTGATTTTTCTGCCTCTCTACTGTAGAAGAAGATGCTCCATAGCTGCTAAGGTTGAAAAAAGACACCAGTCCCTCCAGTTCAACCTGTGTGTGTTTATGTCACTACCATTGCCATATCCCTGTATATTGCGATCACTAAGATGCCCATCGAGTAGTTTTTCTAACTTATCGACACTCCCTGCTGACACCCCTAGCTTTTGGTGGACCATGTATTGAGGTTTTTCTGCTTTACACCCTACAGTGACTTCTTTCTGAGGATGGCACTTTTTATTTGTGTTTCCTCTCATTGGAATAAACTGTTTGGACTTCAGTATTATGGAGTGGTGCTTTAATTTCCTAACTCATTCATCCCCATCACAACCCAAGGTGATCATGAAAGATTTGTGGTGTTCAGAAGCTGCCAGCCCCAATATTCAGATTCTCCGTATTTATACTATCACCATAACATTGGATGACGGCTATATTAAGCATATACCGTATTTTTCGCACCATAAGACGCACTTTTTTCCCCCCAAAAAAGGGGGGAAAATGTCAGTGCGTCTTATGGAGCGAATATAAAGCGGCCGGTCCGGTATTTTTGCGGCCACCATGTCAGAATACCGGGCCGGCCGCTCAGCTGTTGTCTCCTGCAGGGCCTTTTCTGTTCCTCGCTCCAGCGCTGCACAGTCTTCCCGCGCTGGCTTCTGTGACAGCCGGGTGCCCACTGCGCATGTGCTGCGCTTTGTGAATGATCCGGTGTCTTCTGGGACACATGAAAGGTCCCAGAAGGCTCCAGGCCATTCACAAAGCGAAGCGCTTCTCGCACCTGCGCAGTGGGCACCCGGCTGTCACAGAAGCCGGCCCGGGAAGAAGAGGGAAGGCAGCTCCGCGGAAGTGGGAGCGGGTACCTGTCAAATTCAGGTACCCGCTCCCCCTCCCTCCCCAAAGGTCAGCAGTCTCTGGTCATCCCCTTCACTGTCTGCAGTCTCTGGTCATTCCCTGTACCGTGTCCGCAGTCTCTGGTCATTCCCTGCACTGTCCGCAGTCTCTGGTAATCCCCTGCACTGTCCGCAGTCTCTGGTCATCCCTGCGCTGTCCACAGTCTCTGGTCATCCCCTGCACTGTCCGCAGTCTCTGGTCATCCCCTGCACTGTCCGCAGTCTCTGGTCATCCCCCCCTGCACTGTCCGCAGTCTCTGGTCATCCCCTGCACTGTCCGCAGTCTCTGGTCATCCCCTGTACTGTCCGCAGTCTCTGGTCATTCCCTGCACTGTCCGCAGTCTCTGGTCATTCCCTGCACTGTCCGCAGTCTCTGGTCATCTCCTGTACTGTGTCCGCAGTCTCTGGTCATCTCCTGTACTATGTCCGCAGTCTCTGGCCATCCCCTGCACTGTGTCTGCAGTCTCTGGTCATCTCCTGCACTGTGTCCGCAGTCTCTGGTCATCTCCTGCACTATGTCCGCAGTCTCTGGTCATCCCCTGTACTTTGTCTGCAGTCTCTGGTCATCTCCTGTACTATGTCCGCAGTCTCTGGTCATCTCCTGTACTATGTCCGCAGTCTCTGGTCATCTCCTGTACTGTGTCTGCAGTCTCTGGTCATCTCCTGCACTGTGTCCGCAGTCTCTGGTCATCTCCTGTACTGTGTCCGCAGTCTCTGGTCATCTCCTGCACTGTGTCCGCAGTCTCTGGTCATCTCCTGTACTGTGTCCGCAGTCTCTGGTCATCTCCTGCACTGTGTCCGCAGTCTCTGGTCATCCCCTGTACTGTGTCTGCAGTCCATTGGTTCAGAATATTTTTTTTTCTTGTTTTTCACCTCTAAAACCTAGGTGCGTCTTATGGTCAGGTGCGTCTTATGGAGCGAAAAATACGGTATATAAATATAAATATGCTCAGTGACAATTAATAAAAGAAACCTTTCATTATATAATAATTTCAAAAATCCGAAATCTATAATTTTTCAAATTAAAGTCCAATTTCAAATTAAAGTCCAATATCCCAAAAAAAATAAATAAATAAATACGTGTAGTCCAAAAATTGATTCAAGTGTAAAAACTCTCCGCTGCTTGCAAAAACTTGATTACCTCAAAAAAAAAACCAAAATATACATAGTGCATTATCCTTTATAAATAAAAATTTACATGTGAAATCATTCCGATAATATTCACCCAAGTGAACACACGTGTATATATCAAACCACATACACATGCAATATACTGTGCAAAACCATGCATGTGAAACACTCTACTGTGCTAAAAAAAACTCATGACACAGTGCACACTTCTATCAGGGTAAGGAGTGAATACCCTTACCAATATTCAAAGCAATTTATGTTTTTGATCTCAATCCACAGAAATTGCCTGGTGATATAAATCCTTTTGAAGATGTCCTCAGGGTTTGCTTTGATCCTATGATACTGTATGGATCCTTCCACCCTAGCAACTCGGCCAGATGGGGTTGTGTGCATGCTGCAGTCCTAGCAAAATGTATACCCTAGTGTTGCTAGGGTGCAGGTTCTATACAAATGTGCAACTCTGCAGGTAGTTTAAGGGAACCCCCCAGGTATGATATTTATAGGAATTCTTCTTTTTTTCTTTTTTTTCCTTTAAGCAATGAAAAATGACTGGTCCTTTAAAAACTGTACTTTTTGAGGTTGTTTTTTTCACTGATTCATGTCCCTCAGGGCAGTACCCGAGTTCCCATACCACTTTTATGGCCAATAGCTTGCATATAAGCTTTCAAAATGGGCACTTTTGAATTTACAAGTAAGAGTCCCATAGATTTGCATTGAGTTTGAAGTTTGTGGTCGAATGTACATTAAGTTTGAACGTTTGACTGCAAACTGAACACGGGGGTGTTCTGCCCATCACTATTCCTGAAATATGATGTGTTAAGAGTTTTGCAGACTGTCTTTATCTGCGTAGATATAAAAACATTGGAAATGTTTAATTAAACACGGCAAAGATTAGCACATTGCATAGTTGTGATTATTTCGGTATTTTCTGTCTGCAGCTCCTATGAAATTATTGTCTTTGGTGGTCAGAAGGCAATTCAACAAAGGAGTGTCTGAATTTTAAAAACACCCCGTACAACATCATCTGGTCCCCGAGCCGTTATACTGCAGCTGTCCTTCCTGCAGAGACCCTCACCAGACCCAGAACCTTCACCTTGGGGGATAACCTCCATTATAATGGGTTCCACAATGCTCCTCTTATCTCCAACCACAACTACACCGTCTACATTCGGGTCAGCAGCCGCTGGAAACACGTATGTCTATACTGATGTCTTCCCGGCGTGTGAGTGTCATGAATGAGGGCCGATAGTCGCTGTTTGCTGGGGTTTGTAATGAAAATGAGAATTATGGGAACTTCTGGACAAAAAAAAATCAGTTGCTGGAAAATGTTAGCTGATTTCTGGGCAAATGATGTTATTTTTCTGTATGTTTGGCTTCCTGTGTTACTGTATTCAGTTTATTTAAGGAATTGTTTTTTTTGTGAATTTGTTACAAAATTTATGGAGATCCTGCTAGTAACAGCCTTGCTGCTTAATTGTGAAGCAGTAGCTTAGCTGCATCAGTCTGCTGTGCTGTCAGCCTGTAAACTTCACTCCTTCAGTTGGCCAATGGGTTGCCTATCCTGCCAGCAGATCCATATTTTCCCTCTTCCTGTAAGATGCTGTCCAGCAAAAATGACTTACGGGAGGTCCCGGTCTCAACTGATAAATGAAGCAGCTTTCAGTTAACCAGCAGGGGCATTGACTGCAGCAGATTTAATCATAGCACGGGGTGACCACCATCCTGAAGGCTCCGGGAGCTGGTGGGACCTATTTACACAACTTTAGCATTTGGATTTTCATCTTTGGTATCATTTTCTGTTGGGGTGAGGTCTCAGATCACTAGGCTGTGTGCCTGGATGAATGCCCATGGAGCTGAGGGTCTATAGTGCTTGGTCCTCTTGCAGCCTATG